ATTGTGAAATTTTTCTCTAAATTTTTTTTGGTATTTGCAATTTACTTGATTCAAGGTCTGGTGAGAAAAGTTTATAGTTTAGAGGATTCAATGAGACACCCAAAGATTAGGGGGTTATGTGCAACCCCCTTCAAAGATCTGCGGAGGTTTTGTGAAATTAACCCAAAGTATAACCAGCAGCAATTAGATTCATTGAACCAAGACTAAATCTCCCTCGTTGATCAAAATCCCATCCCGATGCATTAGCACAAACCAACGGCTGATGTTTCACGTGACTCACTCCCACGCTCATAGCTATCCTGTAGCTAATAAAGCGACAAAGAAAAGACGAAGAGAGATAAGACCGACACGTTTACGATGCAAATATGTACACGTTTTCTCTCTCTCTCTCCCCCCTCTCTCTCTCCCCCCCTGTCTCTGTCTGCGTTTCCGCAGCGCACAGAAAACGCTCGGTTTGTTGGAGCCCACATCAAGTCTTTATAGATTCGGTGCGGTACAGCCATCAAATAACGACACTGACTCCTAAGCCTATTTTGACATGAACATGGAATGTCCCCACACTTTATAGTATACATGAGAAATTTGATGAAGGAATATTCGAATCAAGTAATTTCTTTTTCCCTCTTTTCGTCTTGATTTTAAATTGTCCCAATAACTAATAGATGAATGCATTGGTAGAAGATTAAAGTTTACTTAATTCAATTGAAGAAAGGATTAGAGAACTAGTTAAGTTAATTATTTTGTGGCCTGCAATAAAGGCATCATTTAGGAGAGAAAAAAGGTAAAATGCGAACACACCCCATAGTATCATCCAATTGTAAATAGATTTTTTATACTTCTATTTGTTAAGAATAGACCCTTTGTAGTTCTACCTGCTGTGAATAAGCCCTCTGAATGAATATTTTTCCCTTTTAAACCTTTAAAAATTGTTTTAGGTGGTGATAGACCCCCTTATAGTTTTATTGGTAAGGATAGACATTCAATTGCTAATTTTTTTACTTTTTTAAAGGGTTAAAAAAAGCTCATTAAGAGGGTGTATTCACACTTGAGCGAATATTTTAAAGGGTCTATTCACAACAAGTAGAGTTATAGGGGGTCTATTTGCAACAAATAGTTCTTCGTAATTGAGGGATACTACAAGGGATCTATTTGCAATTAACCCTAAAAATAATAATATTTTAGTTAATTGGGGTAATTAGCAAGAGTAATAGACATAGTCTTCAGAAAACTTGATTAGAGAAATATATAATAATTGTTAAATGAGGTTTTTCATAGGAACCACCTTTAAAATAGGTGAAATTAATAGAAACCACCTTTAATATTAGTTTCATGTAAACCACCTTATAAGTGGGATTTCTATTGCAATCGACCACTTTTAGTCAACCTAAGCTAAATGAATGTCGTAACTACTCAAATTGCCCCTCATTAATAACACATGCCTTGCATGTGTTTCCCACTAACCCTAACCCTTAACTATGGTTTAATCTCCCAAAAAAATAGCGCATAACTATTGCTTCCCTTTTTTCCCCTTTTTCCCCTCTATTAAACCGTAAATAACCCTAAATTAAAAATAATGTTCAGTCAGATACTAATAGCCCACAGATCAAGTCACAAGAAATTCTAAGTTACCATAAGCCATGGCAATTAATTGGAGGAAGAGAGAGGCGAATGGGGAGAGGATGTTAGTGACATGAAGAGATAGTATGATAAGCATCAGATACAACCATGACTCATGGTGATTAAGCATTTTCTATGACTAGATCTGTGGGTTGTTAGTAGTTGATTGAACATTGCTTTTAATTTAGGGTTCTTGTCGATTTAATATAGGTTTTCTTTGGGAGGGAGGGGGAGCGAGGGGGCAACACTTACGCACTATTTTTGGAGGATTAAACCCTAGTTAAGAGTTAGGGTTAGTGGGAAAACACGTGAAAGGCACGTGTTATTAATGAGGGGAAACTTGGGTAGTTAGGGCATTCATTTAGCTTAAGTTGACTAAAAACAGTTGATTGCAATAGTAATCCACTGATAAGGTGATTTTCACAGAAAAAACATTATAAATGGTTTCTATCAATTTCACCTATTTTAAAGATGGTTCCCATAGAAAAAACCTGGTTAAATCTACAGTGGCAGATAACCTTTAATAGAATGTAATGAAAGAGAGAGAGAGGAAAAAAAGATAAAAGCTTTTATCCTATGTGAAGAAAAGAACAAGGAAGAAACTTTTACACAATCCCTCTTAATTTTAGCGTATTTGTTCATAGGAAAAATTACTTCAATGCCCCAAAATTCAAGTTTCAATGTGCCCCAGCCCCCCCCCCCCCACTGCAGACCTATAATTTAAAAAAAATGTGTCCAGCCCCCTCTCCCCAAGTTCCAATGCAACCTCCTCCAAAATCTCGATTTTACTCTCTCCCCTACACCTCCCTCCTCCTCCTCCGGTCCCTCTCGGTTTTAATGTGCTGCAGATCCTTATAGATGGACGCAGTTTTTTTTCAAAAATAAGGGGCTGCAGCACATTAAAAAAATGTGAGGGGCTGAGTCACATTGAAACTTGAATTTTGGAGCCATGAAGCAATTTTCCTTGTTCATAACAAAGATAGTGCATTAAAAGCATGTTAATTATTGGGTTAGTAAACTTCGAAATTTTCGCGTGTATTCAACAAATGCCATCTCCTTGGTTCGTTATTGATAAAATAAACCGAAATAACTAAATGTTTTATCGATCTCAAGAAAGTATCAAGAGCCTTTACTCTTGAGTCTTGAGTATCTCATTTTTTTTTCTCAATACCGATCGAGTTGGAATGGTATCAAATATATATTTTGACGAAATTCCTCCTATCTATTTACATATTTTCAGTTTTCAACAGAAAATTATAAGGATATGTGGACAATATATTATGTTTGAGAACACTTTAAAGCATAACATCAATCACCGGTGAGGTCGGACTCAAACATGGTACGACCCACTCACTATCGTCCCATCTCCATCTTCACCTACTACAACTCAAAACATAAAATAAGCACAACATTGCGACCAAAAACATAGGAAAAAAAAAATAAAAAATAAAAAATAAAAATAAAAACAAAACAAAGGCCTACGACTCAATCCACCGCTCATTCATCGCAACATTGGTGGCTGGCCCCCTCATGCCATTATCACAATGCATGGTCCTTTTTTTCTTCACTCTCTCTCTCTCTCTCTCTCTCTCTTAAAGTCACCTTGTGCTGGTGACGAGTTTGGCGACCGCCACGCCTTTATTAGAAATAGAAGGAAAGATCCGAGATCTAGAGGCCATGGTCCTCATCTGAATATTAGAAAAATATAAATTAAAATCCATAGATTTATATTTGGAGTTTTTTCCATATATACATATCTCAATCGTAGCCAATTTAAGTTTATTCCTCGAAACATTGAAATAGCTACTTATTTTGTGCACAAATTAAACCATCTTATTCCAATTTCAATGTAAAAAATTTGAGAAAAATATTTGCAGATTGTCCAAAAAAATAAAAAGCACCTATTAGTAAGATTATATTTCCGTGAATTAAGTTAAATTTTACTTCTAAATCAAAACAAAAAACAATCATATATTCATAATGAAATGAGGTGTCAACAAGGTGCTACCTAAACTATTTCTAATGTAAATAATAGTATACGAATTATCCCATTCTTTGTTGCCTAGCTCCACTTACAATGGTGAAGATAAAAAAACTCTTAACGATCTTCACCATCACAACTGTGGGCCACAATAAGTGCTTTTAAGACAATAGATATTTGGATAATAGTAAAAATTCTACATGGTCATATCCTTTGAAATTTGGAAACGGACAATTTATCATTTAATTGGAAAGGATCTCAATGAGACTCATATTAATCTAAATCACCTTAACTTTTTCTTTTTATAACTTTTACTCCGGGTAAATAGTAACCGGATCTAAATATGATGGTGAAACTCTCTTAAAACCCTTTAAATACATAGCATATTCCCTCATTTTCAAAAGCATATCCACACTTTCTCCCACTTCCATCATTCTCCTTTCTTCATATAACCACACCTAAGCTACCGCCTTCACCAAGTTTCTCCAAACCAAATTACACCAAAGAGAGAGAGAGAGAGAGAGAATGGCTACAGCTTGCAGTGGCCGCTGTGTGAAATGGATTGAGATGTACTTTCAGGACTGTGTCTGTAACCTCAGCAGTGGGCTTTCATTTGGGCTGGGCCTTGTGAGCCTCTTTTGCTGGGCCTTTGCCGAGATCCCCCAGATCATCACCAATTTCCAAACCAAGTCCGGCCACGGAGTCTCTCTTGGTCTCCTCCTCACTTGGGTCGTTGGGTCTGTCTCCAACATTCCTTTTTGTGATAAACTGCAGATAACCCCACATTTGTATCTTCAGTAACGCATATCATCTCAGGAATTGACTGTTTGATACTCTTTTCATGAATTTAGGGCTGATAAGTGCTAATAAATGACTGAACAGATGATGAAGTTTGCTGGTTTATCTGCATTTTACCTTTTCTTATGATGTTAAACTGAAATAACAATATGAATAAATAATTTTTCTGTGACCATTTTTTTGTTGGTGTAGTGACGTTTTTAACTTGGTGGGTTGCCTTCTTGAACCAGCCACTGTAAGTAATTAATGCACTTTAATTTTGTTAATTTTTATGATTATTTTATTTTTCAGCCCCATATTCATATGTTAAATATTAACCATTGGTTGGTTTGTTGAATGCAGTTACCTACACAATTTTATACAGCTCTGGTAAGCTGAAGTTTTAATTTATTTTCATAAATATAGATTTTTTAAATAATAAGTAAATTTTGGGTGCAGTTGTACACGGTTATTACGGTGGTTTTGGTTATACAAACTATTTACTATGATTACTTCATCAGATGGTGGAAGAATAGAGGCTATGATTCCACATCAGAGGTGGGTTCTCGACAACATTATTTTTTTTTTCTTGATTTATTACTTTAGTTAATTAATTTGAATTTTTAGGGTTTCGATCACTAATTATGCGAGAAACCCAAAGTTGCGCATATGATTTACTTTGGAGATTTAGTTAGTAGTTATAAAATATTAATGAATATTCTACAAGTCGTAGCCTTTCTTGAGATCGCTAGAAGCTTTTTTAATTGTTCACCACAAGATGTTAAACTATGCTACTGTTCAAAGCTATATGCTATGATTTTTTAAATAATAACAAGCATCATTGCACGTGCAGTGGATGCTGAAATCTTCTTATCCCAATTTTTTATGTAAGAGGGGTTGGAGCATCTCCAATAACTTTCCCATTTTATTGGTATTCTTATTTTTGAAGAATTTTAAGCTTTTTTTTGGTCCAACAGATTCTCCATCTCATTCCCCAAAATAGGGATGGAGGAGGAAAAAAGGGGAGTCTTCCCCAAATCTGGGGCATTCTTCAAATATTTGGTAAGAACTTTGTCATAAATGCAGCACGTTTTTCAAATCGGGTTGGAGGAGAAAATAAATATAAAATAAAATCCGTAATTACAAAAAAAACCATAGGGGAAGTTCCAATGCATAAAGAGCATCCCAAAATAGGGATGTAGAATATTTTTATTATTGTAATAAATGCAAGATTTTTCAAAATAGGGAAGCTGTTGGAGTTGGAGCAAAAATAATTTAAAGAATATGACTTTTGCTTCCCCATTTTGGAGAATTTTTTGGGAAAACTGTTGGAGATGCTCTTACAGGTTACTCTTGATACCCTAAAGTTCCATCTATTTTTAACTTTGGTATCTTCAAGTTTAATTTTTTTCCAAAAAAATATAACTTTCAAGATATTATCTTCCAAATAACATATAGTATTTTTATAAATTTTAGATCTGAGAATGAAGTTTTTTGAGCAAAATATTGCACTACGTTATGCAAAATATGAAATTAAATATTTTAAATAATCTTTCTTTTCACAATAATATGAAATAATTAGAAGGTTTTATTCCAAAAATATATATCACTCTACAATTTAGAATGAAAAGTGTGCATTAAACTGATCATATCTAATTTTTAATCTAATATTTATTTAATCATCAGAATATATTTTTATACTCTTGGGTCTACTCATTTTATATATGGTGAAAATGCATTATTCCTTTTTTACTCATGTCAGCATTTATTTATAGAAGTTATTATATCAGCAATAGCGTCTCTGCCCATGACGAATTATAATTATTGGTGCTTTCTATTTTTCCTTTCAACTTCAAAAAGATCAGATTTTATTTATGAAAGCTTGTGAGCCTTCTTGTACAAATGCATTATTTATTAATTTTCCTTTCAAGTTCAAAAAGATCAGGTTCTCCAAATATCATTTTCCATTCTATTTTCAGATGAGAGAATGAATGAGAAATGAATTTACACTCATTTGATTTGTTGAATTACAAATGCATATTGAGGAATGAAAAATTTTTACCTTTAATTTAGAGTGTATTTGATACAATAACATGATTGAAATTTGAATTACTTTTTGAGTACTTATTCTCAAATGAGGATACAATATTTTATTGTAGATTTGTTTGATAAAATTGCTTATTTTTTAAAAGAGAGAAGGAAAATATATAATTAATTTGTTTATATAAATTTCAACATCTAAATAAATACAATTTGAACAGTGTTTCTCTTGTAAATTAATTTTACACATAGTATATAGGTAAAACATAAAAATATATAAAATGATACAATCCATTATGAAAAGTGAAATTGTGTTTAATTTATTAGTACTAAATTTGAAGGATCTAATCTCAATTAGTACACCTTGGGGTCTTATTATGTGAAAACCCATTCTTTTTTATATCTTTCACGTCACTTTCTTTTGACGTGTGGGGGCCATATATGATTACGATCGCTCCCCAGCATTGATGAAATGACATTTATACTATCCGATCGTATTGAAGGACAATTCCTTCATACTTCGAAACTACAGTTGTTATTTATGGAGGTATATTTATCATCAGATTAATAATATGGTGCGATAATATTTTTAACATTATTATTTATAGAGTGAACTTCTAAATCAGTTAACAAAATAATATACTAATTAGCAATATAATAGAGCCATAAAATATTTATATTTGTGAAATGTCTAATAAAGATTAAATTCATCATTTGCAAGAACGAGAGAGAGAGAGAGAGAGAGAGAGAGAGAGAGAGAGAGAGAGAGAGAGAGAGAGAGAGAGAGAGAGTGTGTGTGTGAGATAAACAACTTTTTCAAGCCTAAAAAATTTTACTTTTGCTTGAACGGTGGATAAAGGGCAAAAAAAAAAAAAATACTGTAGTATATAGGTTATGCTTAAATTTTAAAAATGGTGGTGTAGCATGAATAATATGCTTGGAGGAAATCAGTTCAGCAAGAATAGTTAGTCTATGGCTGAAAATAATACTATAGCATGAACAATAGGTTTAATATTATAAATCATACGCGAGAAGAGTATTTATTATAGTATGAATAATAATTTTAGGGTTTGTTTCTACGTTAGAAGCAATAGATACTGTTTGCCACTAGTAAGATCTTTATATGCTAGTATAGATGGATAGATTTACATGTGAGACCATTCCACCAGATAATTAAATTTCTCTGACTCTTTAGATATATTTACCAGCTCATCTAAATTCAATTTTAGTATTTTTTTTAAAGAAATATGTTGCTAGCTGTTATATCTTGAGAATTACCAAGTCTAATAAGCTCTTAAGAGCTAATCACGTGTCATATTAATGGGTAAAGTACTATAATCTAAAAATTTGTCCTAGGTGTGAGCATCATCAATCTCTCTAGCAGTCTGAGTCCAAGACGAAAGATATCTTCAAGTCGGGATCTATTAAGGAAATTTGAGTCTAAGACGACATATGTCTTCTGGTCGGATTCAACTAAAGAATATCTTAAATGACGGAATGACTTATCAGCACTGTTTTAAAAAACATTCGCCTAGTCCGCTTAGGCGTACGCCTAGACCTAGGCGGTACCTAGGCCGTCTAACTAGCGCCTAGCGTCTAGGCGGTATTTAGGCTGCTCACCTAGATTTTACGAGCGTTTAGGGGAGCATTGTCTGCTTACGTAGATTGCACCCTGTAGGCATTGATTGTGATTTTATGTATCGTAGCCTATACGTCCTCCAAACTCGATCCATTAACCTACAAATACGAACATCTCCACTAACTCCTCCGACCTTCAGCAAAACCTCATCGATCACCACTTAAATGAAGAAAGAAAAAAAACACCCAGAAACCACTTAGGCGCCCGCCTAGGTGACTAAGCGCTGGGCGTCAAGTCCGACGCCTAGAAGCACCCAGCGTTTAATGTAACATTGCTTATCAGCCTCGTCAACGCCACTCACATTTAAGGCATGGAAAGCCAGCGCCCATACTTCACCGCCTAATTGTCATCACATTAAATGCATGCCTAGAGTCATAATGACTATTCGAGCCGAAGTTATAAATACTTCTCGGATGACGCCTGTACTTCTGCCATTATCATTGTCGCATTAAATGCAAAGGTGACTCACTCAACCAACCACCGACGTGTATAAAGTGGAGTCTAATTAACTGACTCCACTAATTGCGTGGAATTACTAATGTGCCTCCGAATTCTCTATAAGTGGTGGTTAACCCCATTATACCAAAGTACATTGAAGGAAACTCCGAACTAGATGCTGTATTCTAATAATCTATTTTTACTAAGTTGAATGTCAGAAGGCAAACTAGGGAACCTCCTTTGGCCCTCTAACGAGTGTTACCTGCATAGGGATCCGCTTCCCTTAGATTAGTTAGTCATCAGAGAAGATTGAGGGACCCGAAACTCTTCCAAATATCCTCCCACTTATACAATTAACTTTCTGACATAAACAGCTTAATGCCCATTGTAGGGTCATTTTTTCTTCCTTTGAGAAATTGGTTGATCCTAATCGCCCATCAATCCCTAACTCACATGCTCTCGGAGAATCTTCTACTTCTAGCTATGTCACTCAAGATCAGCCGGATGAACCCTCCGAAGAATAGCTCAATCACTCCAACAATAGTTTTCTTCGTAAGCAAACGAACTCCTTAACCATATTCTCCCATTCCAACCTCCAACATCACCTACCACCCCTTTCTTCGAGGGACACCATCGGCAACAAGAAGATGAAGAAAGGGTTATGGCTCAATTGCACCTACAATAAATTAGCACCAAGTCACCCATGTGGTGGTAGATGGCATGGTCAGGCATCGGAATGAATAGTGCAAAAGCACTTGGTATGTCATACTCCTTAGCCCATTGCATGAGACAAACTTGGAATACCAACGATTTATACTGGAATAGTAGCAAGATCCGATCCTAGTTATGGGCCACAAAAGGCTTTGCACTGGAAGCCATCACAACAAAGTGATCAAAGTCAACGATCGGAGCACATGATCAAGGTTCTAAAAGATAGAAGCTCATAAATTTCAAGGGTTAGGGTTTTAGAAAGTGTACTGAGGAAGAAGAGAAATGGGGTATTTATAGGCACTAAATAGGTGACACACGGCCAAATCCTAGCGGCTAACTCTAATCCCCCTAAACCGCTGACGGTTCTCAAAGCCAAAGCATCATTCTTATCAATTGAAGCATCCTATCATGCATGTTCTACGCTAACATTAGAACGTCAAATTACAACTATATTCCAAAATCGATTCGAATCCTCGAGGCGGCAAAAAGATGAAACTGTTCAGTTTCTCCTTCCCGACTCTAAGTGAGAGGGCCCAATGTTATATATTGAGAATTACCAAGTCTAATAAGCCCTTAAGAATTGGCCATGTGTCATATAAATAGGCCGAGTCCTATAATCTGAAAATCCGACCTGGGTGTGAGGACCGCCAATCTCTCTAGTAGTCCGAGTCCGAGATGAAAGACGTCTTCAAGCCAGGATCTATTAAAGAAATCCGAGTCCGAGACAAAA